CACCCTAAACGCTCCACCTCTGGCAATTACGAGAATGTTAGTTAATATATCATCTGCATGTGGAAAGTCTTCCGGACTTAGTCACGGAAAGGGAGGTGAAAGATGAGGACAGTGGGATCCGCAGACTCTGCCCCTCTACTGAGGAGTTAGAGACCTCCAGCTGCGGCCAGAGGCTGGAGGAAACACCTGAACGTGTGGAATCCCAATGCCGGGCAGCCAGGACCAAATCCATATCCCCCTAACGTCGGGTACCCTGAAGGTTCCAATCCTGCCCCTCCACCGCCTGTAAATCCTGCCTGTCCTCCAGGCCCCTTTCCAACTCCCCCAGGAGTTCCCCCAGGGGAATCCAGCTTTCCCCCCAGGTGGGCCCCCTCATCCTGTGCCACAACCAGGGTATCCAGGATGCCAACCCCTAGGTCCCTACCCACCTCCCTACCCACCACCTGCTCCTGGCATGCCTCTTGTGAATCCTGTGGCACCTGGCATGGTAGGACCGGGAATGGTGATGGCCAAGAAGATGCGGAAGAAAATGAAGAAAGCTCATAAAAAGATGCACAAACACCACCAGCATGGCAAGCATTCCGCCTCCGCCTCCACCTCCTCCTCCTCTTCCAGCAGTGACTCGGACTGAATACAGGGCCTGGACCCTTCCCTCAAGCCTCTCCAGTTCTGCTCTCCCATCGAGCTTCAGATGCCATCTTGCACTGGGGAAAATTAGCCCGTGTGCCCCTTCTCCCTCATCCCCCCAATCTGAGCCTTACTCTGCTGTTCAGCCCTAACCAGCTAGGGAGAATGGGAAAAGAATTGCCATGGGCTAGCAAAGACCATCTTCTCACTACTTGGGTAGAACTTTCAGCTCATGAGTTTAGCAGGAGAACTATTTTTTGAGGATGGTGAGACCTTGGAGCTAAATGCCGAAGATGAGTTTAAGATCTGTAAAATGTGATTTTTTTAAAACTTTCTTTTGTAATACTTGTAGTTGGGAGGTGTTGTGGAAATTTAATTATGGAAAAAAAGAAACTGTGCTGTTTTTGTAATGGTGGCTGGCACACTTTGGTGATTTAGTGGCAAATAGATTTCCCAGCAGCCTTTATTGATTGTACTAACTGTAAGGCTGCTGGGAGGTGGAGTCCATTTGGTTGATAAGCTTTGCTTGCCATTTTGGAATCTCACTCCTTAGTTCAATAGGCTGGCTTAGGCCCTTCTCATTCTCCACCTCTCAGTCCAAATAAAGCTTTTTTTCCTTGGGGGGGGTGGAATATATCATCTGCACGTGTCTGAATATGTGAAGTGTTTCATAACACATGTTAAGTAATGATCGTGGTGTCACACACTAGTTGAATATGGTATATGTAAGAACGTAAGTGATCATTTGATTTTGTAGGAATTTAAAGGAGTAAGAATTATGGCAAGAAAACTTAGGAATTTTTCTTAAAGGGAGTGGAAATTGAGTTGGGCCTTGAAAGATGGATAATTTTTTGATAGGAAGCAGAATTAAAGGCCCAGAGGTAGAAGAGAACTTGGCTCGCTGCAAAAGTTAGTGAGGAAACTGGCCAGCTAGGAGGGTGCCATTCACATTGTCTCCAGGGCTGGGCAGGCACAACTGTATCTGGTGGCCCGGTTGGAGGAGTACTGGCAAAGTGGGGAATAATTAGAAAGGTGGAAATGCTGGACTGAGAAGTTTGGACTTCATCCTATGAGAAGTGGAAACTGTAGAAGTGGTTTTGAGAAAAAAGACAATGATAGCAAAGTGGCTGAACATACAGGCTTTGGAACTAGATAAAAATTAGTTTGATTTGTGGCCATATTACTGTGTACTAGCTATATGATTTGGGGAGTCACTTAAGTTTATTAAGCCTTGTTTTTCTTAGCTGCACAATGGGTATACTAATATTTTCCTTACAGAATTATGTGAGGGTTAATTGAGATAATATACACAGTGCTTGACACATAGTAAGTGCTCAGTAAATTGTATTTGATTGTCATAAGTCAGTGTTTCAGAAATTTATTTATTTATTTATTTTCATACAGCCGCCAAAGGGGCTCAGATATTTTTTTATATACTCTTTTTTTTTTTAAAAGTAATCTCTACACCCAACGTGAAGCTTGAACTCACGACCCCGAGATCAAGAGTCGCATGCTCCACCGACTGAGCCAGCCAGGCGCACCGGGGCTCAGCTATTTTATAAATGGCAGTGGTATATAGGATCAATTGGGGGAAGAGAGACTGGTAGGCAGACTAGCTGATTTTGTTTTTAAGTGATTTTTAACTTTGTAAAACCAGTTAGTTGACAGTGACATTGGTATGAAGTAACAAAGGCTTAAGCTGTGGTTTTTGAAATTGGAAAAACAAACGTCTGTGTCACCAGATCTATGGCATTATCACTTACAAGATGAACCATTATTTATGTACCATGAAGACTGAAAAAACATTGACAAACTCCGGCACAGTGCTGATCACCTAGAATTTTTGTTTTATGCTTATCGAAAGAGCTCTTTCAAGCTTATTTAGACATAGATTTTAATTGTATTGCATTTTATATAGTACCAAAAAAGGAAAGTGAAAGTGAAATAAATTGATATTCCTAAAACTTCCTCACTTTCACAGCCCGGTGCTTCCGAATAACTTCTTGTTGCAAAGTCATCATCGTCTGTGACATTTCATGTAATACTGTCCTCTGTGCCATCAAGAGCACGAGTGATGCTGCATGGCTTTAAAGAGTGCTCTGCTATTGTCTCTAGACGTTTTTCCAAGCTGTGACAAGTTTGATGCTGGTGCTTCTTGATCTTACCAGAAAGATCACTGGGGAGATTATCTAACTGCAACCAAGACTCACATTCCTTTCTCAAATGGTTTGTTGATTGAAAAGGCAAGGGATCGGGGTGCCTGGGTGGCTCATTCAGTTAAGCGTCTGCCTTCGGCTCAGGTCACGATCCCGAGGTCCTGGGATCGAGCCCCACATCGGGCTCCCTGCTCAGCGGGAAGCCTGCTTCTCCCTCTCCCACTCCCCCTGCTTGTGTTCCTGCTCTCGCTGTGTCTCTCTCTGTCAAATAAATAAATAAAATCTTAAAAAAAAAAAAAAAAAAAGAATTGATAAGTCAGAGCAAATTGAAGCACTAGCTTGATCCTTCTGGGAAACTTTACTGAGCAACCTTAAAAACACTGTGGTCACAGCTAAAGTTATTCTGTTGTAAATTACTTGGAGAAATGCTCTACCAGCAATTTGTTTTTTTTCTTTTTGAAACTCACGGTATTTTTAAGGCATTATATAGCACTGATAAGTTTAGCCAAATGCCTGGATATGAATTCCTAGAATTTTACTGATCCATAAAAATGGCCAAAATTGTTTGAAACTAGCTAATGTAATAGTAATAATCTAATGATTTTCTGTCTTTGAATGCCAGGTATTTCCAGCACAGTGAAATTTATTTTTATACTATTATCATTCACTCTTACTATGGGCCTACATACTGATATAATGATTTAACTTGATATATTAAAGTTCAAAGATCAGAACTTAGGCTTATAAGATTCGGTGTTTCTCTGGGCTGGTAGCATAAAAACTCTACATAGGATACAGAAACCTAGAAAGCAGAAAATATAAATCCTTAAAGTTGGCATGGCAACGCCAGCTGTTTATGTTACAGTAAATATATTGGCAATGATTTTTGAAACTTTCTTTTTTGTGTGAGAAACCAGGCTACCACTGAATCTCTGGGATGATAATGATTAAACATGTTTGTACTCTTTTTCTTTCATCCCCTTCATTGTTGACCTATTTGGAAGGTTCTGTCACTGCAAAAGTTGTACTTTGTAGCCAACAGTAATTTTTACTTTTCTACATGCTTGAGATGGAGTATGGGAATCTTTCTTTTTTAATCCTCATAATGAGATACGTCTAAGGAAGTTTGTCCTGATTGAGAGTCCAGTCTGGAGCAGAAGACCCAGGACTTGAACATTGTCGTAATTTTTGGATACCTCATTTTCTCTTCCCTTTTGTTCCGAGGATAATGGCTTGATCCCTGAAAGCAAGTTAGTTTCCTATCCCATCTTGTTATATTTCCATAATTTCATGGCTTCTTTGTTACCCCTAAGGTGTCCTTATCCCACTGTGTATTCTTGTAAGTGAATGAGCCCATCATTGGTGGTTATAGGATCCCGTGTCTGCCTACCGTTTCTGCTCATCATGGAGGAATGTGTGCATGTACAAATGTGCTGCCGTTAAGTTCTCTGTCTCTGGAGAGACCTTTCACTGGTAGTGGAAGGAAAGGAGTCAGAACAGTGATATCTGGTTCAGACCTGGGCATGTCGGAGCTACAGAGACATCATGGATTCGAAGGTTACCTCTGTCACCAGGGAGGACCAGAAAGGAGGAGGGCTTGACCCGCGGGGCTCTCTCTGGCCCTGGGCCTTGCTGATAGTGGTACCTTTGACACACAGCTACAATATACACTGCTTGTTTTTCCCTCCGATGCCTTTCAGCCCAGCCTTTTGAGCACTTGAATCACCTGTTGGGTAGTCTGGCCTTGCAGGAAAGTAGTGGCAGTTTCAGATAGGTTGCCTAGAGCTTTAGAGACATAAGTCCTTGGTGATCTTGGAAGTGATTTTGGTGATGAACTGCCACAGCTAGGTTTTATCAGGTGGCCCAGGAAATGCAGAATAAAGAACGCCATTCCTATTAGATCTGGAACAGGTAAGGGGGTCGGCATTGAATGAGAAAACGTGATTTTAACCAAGAAGCAGTGTATCTGTAAAACTTCCCCCTGGCTCCTTTCTACTGTTACTACCTGCAATTTCATCATCTTTTCACTTTAATTCTGTACGGGGTGATGTCTTTGGGGCCAGCGGGTATTTTTATCTGCTAGTTGTAGAAGTGTTTGCTCTTAGGGCTCTGCTGTGGCTGAGGGAGGTAGCCCCACCCCCTCTCCAGTTGCTTGGCACCAACCCTCCCTGGTTGCTGGGCATCTCGTTTACTGCTGCTGCCCTTAATTCCCTGCAGGTGCGTAAGTACAAGAGCATGATCCTGGAAGACCTGGAGTCTGCCCTGGCAGAACACGCCCCTGCGCCACAGGAGGTTAACTCCGAGCTGCCACCTCTCACCATCGATGGAATTCCAGTCTCTGTGGACAAAATGACCCAGGTAAGGGGCGGGAAGTGAGGAGGAGACAGAAAGACAAGTGGCCTGGGTGTGGGCGGGCCTCAGATCACACTTGTCAGTTTTGTGCTCAGTGATAGCAGCGGAGAGAGGGTGGGTTCTGACAGCGAGGCGGTAGCAGCCTTGGGGAAGAGAATGTAGTGTCAGAAGAATGCTCTCCTCCTTGGTTGGCAGTTCTTTCCTTTCACTTGGGCCGTTGGGTTAGATAAAGAAACTTGTAGCTCAGAATTGGTTTGCTCGGACAGGTGACTGTTAGGACTTTGATGAGTCACTATCAAGCAGGGCAAGTAAACTGTTAGTCTTTCAGGCTAAGCTGCTCCTCTTTCCATGTAAATTCTGAATACCACCACACTGTCGCCAAGGAAGGCTCCCCTTTCTGGGGAATAATAATGGAAAACTCAGAAGGACACCCTTCTGAGTCATTGCTTCTCTCCTCTTGCTTTGACGAGGGAAGTCAAGATGTACTTAGCCAGATAAATCAGCATTCCTCAGGAATTTTGCTGAGGTGGTCCGTCTCAGCTTTGAAAGTGATACCTTGATCAAGATCAAGTGCCCTTTTTAATAACATATTTTCCTACCTTATTTCTTTATTGTACTCTTCTCTTGCTAAATCCAGTTGTGCATTTTCTTTCCTTATCTTACTCAGTCTTCCAGCAGCATTTGACACAGTTGATTATTCCTTCCTTTAAAACACTTCCTGGGGCGCCTGGGTGGCTCAGTTGGTTGAGCGGCTGCCTTCGGCTCAGGTCATGATCCCAGGGTCCTGGGATCGAGCCCCGCCTTGGGCTCCCTGCTCGGCGGGAAGCCTGCTTCTCCCTCTCCCTCTGCCTGCCTCTCTGCCTACTTGTTCTCTCTCTGTATCTCTCTGCCAAATAAATAAATAAAATCTTTTTAAAAAAAATAAATAAAACACTTCCTGCTCTCTGTGTCTGACCGCACACTCTCCGAATGTCCTCCCACCTCACGGTGCTCCTTCTCCACTCTTCCGCTTGCTCTTCCTCCTGTTCTCAATGACCAGTATTGGCATGTCTGTATCTTTACTTTCTTTCCAAGTGGTCTCATCTGGCCCATGGGCTTTATGTCCCTTCTATATCCTGTTTACAGCCCAGCTTATAGCACTCACTCTTAGATATCCAGTGCCCAGCATGCCCCAGACAGAACCTTCGGTTGCCCCACTCTCCACTCCCCCTACGACCCTCCGTATCGGTGACCAGCACCACTGTCCATCTGGTTGCTCAAGTGCCGGCATAGGAGCAACCCTTTGTTTCCCTGTTTCGCCCTCACTCCACGGCGTCTCAGTTCGGCTCTGAGATGTGCCCTGAATCTGACCGTTCTCCTCAGTTCCCGTCACCACCCTCGCCCAAGCCAAGTATCTCTCACGTAGAGACTATTTCATCTGATCGATTCTCTTGCTCTCCTTCTTGCCGCTCTTGCCCCACTGCAGTCTGTACCTCACGGAACCACCAGAGGTTTTTTCCAAAACTTAAATCCGCCCATATCACCGCCTTATTTAAGCCCTTTAATGGCTTTCCACTATTCCTAGAATCAAATTCAGACTCTGCCATGGCCTCTGAGGTCCTGTAAAATCCGAGAATCCAGCCTCTTCCAGCTCCATTCTTCAGTCTTCCCCTCAGTCACTGTGCTCTGGCCACCCTGGCCCTCTTTTTGCCCAACACTCCAAGCCCATTCTTTCGCGTTGGCTGTTTCCTCTGCCTGAAACGTTGTTCTCCCGGATCATTACATGCATAACCTTATCCTAATCAAAGTCTGCCTCAGACGTCACCTCCTGAGCCAAGCCTTTCTTGATTATCCCATCTAATGGAGCTTCTCCTTGCTACCAAGTCACTGCCTAACACATCCCCCATTTTATTGTCTTGGAAACACTGATTACTACCTGAAATCATCTTATTCATTAACATTTATACTTACCTGGGATCTCTCTAGCTAGAATTTGAGAGCAGGGATTTAGTTTCTCTTCTTTACTGCCATCTACTACAGCTCCTGGCACCCAAATAACCTCTGAATTCTAAATAATAGTATCTGTTCAATAGATGACCTAAGCGTCAGAGTAAAACAAATTCAGCATGGTAGTTACCTGGATTGGAAGTCTTCCAAGTACGTGTTCACAGGCTGCAGACATTGACAGTGCTACTCAGGAGGTGGCCCTTTTTTCCTGCTGAGTCTGAACCTGTAGCTTGGTCTAAAGCCATACAGTATTTTATAAAGCTACATTGTGATTGTTTGCTTGTTGGATTCATAGATCTTTCTGTGAACATTTGAAGAATATCTAAATAATGGCTCAAAAAGGAAAGCATTATCTAAACTTTTTTCCTGTCACTTCATACTTATTATTCTGTCCTTAAGACCATTCTGACTAATTAAAGAAAACATAAGGTGAAATTTTTTTTTTTACCTGATTGATGTAAAGAATCTTCTTTGTACCTCAGATATAAGGTATCTATAAAGTTAACTAAGCTTCTGATTAAGAATACTGTGTTAGGCATGTGAGGCATTATGCCCTCTCCTGTGATGGGCATTTTTTCCTTCTTTGTCACATTTGGTGTGTTAGGTTGAAATAATCTGAGGTTTTGATTATATTAAATCATCATGGACAAGTTTCATGTTATGAAACTTGGCTTATGGCCTCAGAAGTCATAGCAAACAGTTTAATTTTCATGTTGGAGGTAAAACATTTGTAACTGTGCTGTTTTCTGTTCTTGTGAAATATACACTTGGGAGAGCTTTGTGTAGTGATGGATCCAAGGGAAGCTGGTACTCAAGTCAGGGATCAGACTCAGAGGTGCTTTGTTGAGGGCATGCATTTTCTTTATCGTCCTACGTTCCCTCCTTTCCCTTCTCACCACAGATCATGACCAAAAAGTAATACGTAACAGATAAAACAGATGGTGAGGAGGAGTGAGTAGAGTGATGAAAAGCCCAGCTCCTAATTGAATGGGAATTTCTGAGTATTTGGATCCTGGGTTTTCTACCCCAGATCTTTTTTTTTTTTTTCCAGTTGTTTTCCTCAGATCCTTGTTATTAATGTGAGCCAGTTACCTTTTTTTTTCCTAATTGATCCCAAAACCTTTCATTATTAATGATAGTAAAAGCAGGGTGTTATTTCAAACTAAACCTAGGTAGGAGAGGGAATGGGAATACAAGCATTTTAACACCCTGTCAATAGAAATAATGCACTGGCATGATCTTTCCAGAAAGCAGGGTGGCAGTGCATATCAAAATTTAACGTGTATGTCATGCCCACCAGGCAAGCAAAGATGTATGTTCATGGCACTGTTTATAATAGGAAAATCTGGGAACAAAGTGCTTGAATAAATTATAGTAGTGTTGTTTAGAATTGACATGAGAAGATGAGCAGCTCCCAAAAGAGACCAGAAATTTACTATTCAGTGAAATATTAGACACCAAAAATACCAACTTGTTCTCTATTGCAATGGGATAGAGAGTTCCAGTAGTTTTTAACTGCTTATAAAATAACATTTCTTGGGCGCCTGGGTGGCTCAGTTGGTTAAGTGACTGCCTTCGGCTCAGGTCATGATCCTGGAGTCCCGGGATCGAGTCCCACATCGGACTCCCTGCTTGGCGGGGGGTCTGCTTCTCCCTCTGGCCCTCTTCCCTCTCATGCTGTCTCTCGTTCTCTCTCTCTCAAATAAATAAATAAAATCTTTAAAAAAAATAACATTTCTTATGTACTCTAATTCGAGTGCTTTATTTAGTACTTTGTTTAATGCTTTATATTTTGTTTCTTTGGGAGAGGGCTAGATTTTTTTTTCTTTCAGGAAATACATAATTGAGTTAATCAATTTCATTTGTTTAAAACATGCACACAAAACTTGTCTCTGTTGCGTGTGTGTAAAACTTTAGAGAGATGTAAATATATTTACTGTAAAACCAAAATATTAACAGTGATTATCTATGCATGGTGGCATTATGGGTGGTTTTTATTTTATTTGTCTTATTAACACGAATTACTTTTATAACCATAGAAACACAAAAAATATTTTCATATTTATATTAAACTTGAATTTTTTTAAGTACAAGTTTGTTGAACTTTATGTTTGGGTGAAGATGTCAACAACTTTTTCTTTCTCTTATTTTTCTCTTCTATAGCTACTATGTTTTGGAAGGCACACTACTAAGTTATTCACAGGGGTATCTCATTTAATCCTTGCCCTCCAGAGTATATATATAATTCCTCTTTCATAGTCAAGGAAGCAGAGCTCATATATGATCAGTAGCCATAAAGGACCAAGTAAATTTAATTGGACACCAATTCTAGAATTCAGACCAAATGGGTAGTTCATGACTTCTTGAAGTGATAAAATTCCAGAATTGTAAAAGTACACTGTAACAGAATTGGATTTGGGTTAACCAGACAGCTCTATTAGTCGTCTTATCTGCACTGAATGCAACGGAGATGACTAATGTTTATATTGATGGGATCCTAACTCATAAACATAATTCTATACGCTATCCTAAGATGAATTTTCAGTCATCCAAAGAGTAAATTATATTTGATATTGTTCTGATGTTATGTGTTCCATTATTTTAATTCCTTACAAATTTGAGAATTAGCCTGGTTTTTTAGAGTTGGAAGGTCTAGTCTCTAGTCCCAATCCTACCACATATAGCCTTGGTTCCCTTGGTTTCATCTTCTGAAAATGAGAATAATATATGCCCTCCTACTTTATGGAGTCAGAGGAAGAAAAAATGAGGTATTATATGGGAAAGTGCTTTGAAAATGAAGGCATCACACAAAGATAGTATTACCAATTATTAATACTGTTTATATTACCTATATTAACTTTTGAGTAACCTGAACGTACCATTTCTCACCCATTTTTCACTTACAGAAAGTTAATGAACCTGGAATTTTTATTTGGCTCAGCAATGAAGTGGGACAATACAGGTGGCAATATATTGAAAAATTGAGACATAAAGAGAGGAAGCAATTTATGAAGCAAGTT